TTAGTGGGAAAAGGCTTTGTTGTTGTTGTTGTATTAGCACTTCCAGCAGAGAATTACACCCAAATGCAAGTTCCAGTGCACTTGTGATCATTGATGGTTGGATATGGTAGCAGAATCCAGTTTTATTTTCGCGGTCCTTTCTGAGAAACAGATACAAAAGAGTGTAAACCAAGAAACACAAACCAACTGGAACTGCCGTCGTCACCAGAAGAAGCCCAGCCCTTGAGCCTTGCATGGATCCACAGATTTTGCATCGTAACCAAACACCTTCTCTGATAAAGCTCAAGAAAAGGCTTAGTGGTCTGGTGTTTGACAAGGACAACCTCAACAAACATAGGACCATTTGCAGCAGTAGCGTTCCAGCTGAGGGTCAGGCACATCACTGAATACCTAGTCTGCACACAATTGTTGTGCAGTTGAAAAAGAAATTTTTGTACAATTTTTCTTTTGCTTTAAACTAGTACTAGTATGACTATGTTTTCTGTACAATTTTTCTTTTTTATCATCCGACTACTATCTATCTAATTAAGGAGAGATTCACCCCTCTGCAGTTTAGCTGAATGCAAAGCTTCAAACGCTGTGGGAGGACATTTAGCCCTCAAAATGGACAATAAGTTTCTTGCTCCTTCTGTTTGCTCGTTCCATGTGGCAGGTAATGTGTTTTTGTACTTAAAAAGGAGGAGATCCTTTTGGTTTATGCCATTGACCATTTGGAAGAATATAAGCCCCACATCATTCATATCCTTTACATAACTTGCTTCTCTAGTGAGTTTGGCTACAATAAAGAGACAACTCAAATTAGATACCTTTACATAACTTGCTTCTCTAGTGAGTTTGGCTACAATAAAGAGACAACTCAAATTAGATACCAACTAGACTGTATGCATTAAGGAAAAATACACAGCCAACAACAAAAATGAGAGATAGGAAAACTGAAAATTCGATTGAAAAGAGGAAAAAGATTGAACATTTCCAAAAAATTACAGCAAATCTCAGGCCAAACGACCACCATTCCCTTCCTAGCTGCCTCTCCCCTCCGCAATCTGATACTGAGCCCTCTACCGAAGTGACATGAGAGAGAGGGAAAGAAGAAGGGTGGGGGTGGAGGAGGATGTGTTTGGTTGTGTTGGATGGTGGTGAGTGTGGCTGACGTACCTGGTTCTGCTTGTTGGGTATATTCTAGGAGGAGGAGCCACTGCTTGTTTGATCAATTTTGGATGTGACAGACCACTGAAATGAAGTTACTGGTTTTAGGATTTAACGGTTCCTTTCAACTTTCGGGTTTGAGATTGACAGTTTTTGGTCGGAATTTGGGATTGACATTGGGATGTAACTAGAGGAAGCAAATCAACCTTTCGGACATGTTGCTGCTTTTTGTTGCGTTGTTTATTTCCATAGGAGTGAACGTCGTCGATCAAACTTCTTCACTAGTTATTTGAACTGCAATGAATTGCTTTGGAGCTAAGAGTTCAATTTTTCATTTGAGTTTTGATTGTCACTTTTGGCATTAAAGGAATGCTACTTTTCGTTTCCCCTCGACATTAGAATGTATTCCAATTCACACTCTAGTTTGTATTTGTTGACTTATTGGTTTTGGTAATTTGAAATTTGGGGCTGACAGCGAATTTAAGATTTTTGAAGGTGAGTCAAAGGTTTAAGTTTGTAATTTTTCTTTAATTGTCTGGATGGTGAAGATTGAATGAAGGAAAAAATGAATATAAGTTGGATGAATATAAAGCCGGACGATTGAAGACTTGCCCCTAAGTTTGGTCATTCTAGAGTATAGACTTCAAATTAAATGCCAACTAAAAGAAATCAATTATTTAAATAAAACAACCACATAAATAAATAAAAATTGAAACATAAAATAAACTAAATCACTACTTACCTGTCCCAAAGTCACAAATTTTAAGCTGATCATCGTGAAGAAGTATGTTGTCAAGTTTTAAATCTCCGTGAATGACATCTTTGCTATGGAGGTATCTCAACCCCTCCAAGATCTGAATGAAGTAAGGCAATGCTTTACCCTCCAATCCTTTTTTGCCATTTTCTTTTTGGTCCTTAAGCAGTTCGTCCAGTGACCTGTGTGTCACATCATACAACAGCAGCACCGCTGCAACAACAACAAAAGTTACATACTTATGAACAATAAATAAAAATAAATAAACAAATCAAATTGCACATAAATATTGAGTATCAATTACCTGTCACATAGTTCCATTTGTATACAGATATAATGATAAGGCACTGCCGCTTTAAGATCGACCTCACCAAAAAATGTCCGGACACCTGGTGGCTCGTACCAAGTCTAATTTACAAGAATAAATTAATACAATATAAAATTGTATTCATAAATCAATAAAATAAAATTTATGAAAAGAGAAATGTGAAGAAGGTTAATTTGGTATATTAAAACTATTAAGGGTGTCTAGAGAAAAATAATAATAATAAACTGGGGTGTTATGAAAAACAAGGGGGTGCCTAGAAAAAAATTTACAATTTGGGTATATGATAAACAAAGGGTGTCTAGAGACGAACTAGCATTTTCGTGGTTAATAAAATTGACAAAAACCGGACAAGAATTGTGCCTCTATGTTTTTGGGCCCATTTTGCTTTACTAGGTCGTTTTGGGTCCATTTTGCTTTACTAGTGGACTGCATATTTTGGATGTACAGAGAAATAAAGCAACCAAATGGTGAAATTGGGTTTAAACCAAGAAAAATGTGACTATTGACTCGTTTGAAAAATTCTTTTAAATTGAAATATCTTTTAGACGATGATTATTGACACTCTAATTTTCTTCTTAATATAAGTTTGAAGTGCGCCGACTAGATTTTTAAAGTACCGATAACAATTCTCATGTTTTATATACAAACAACAATGGAAAAAATGGGTGTCCAAAGAAAAAAAATGTTTTTAAACAAAGAAGATAATAGGAAAAGAAGAGATTAGGATAGTGTTCATACTTACCGAGAAATAGCGAACCACGTTGGAATGAACGAGATTGCACATCTCCTTTGCCTCACTGAGAAATGCAAACAAAATTACAAAAAAAAGTATATAATATATACCAGCACTTTAAATTAGATAAATGAATAAAAATAAATAAAAAATATTATGATTTTTTTTTCACCTCTGCACCTTCTCAAATGAAAGATTGTCCTGCCCGAAACGTACCCATTTCACGGCATAATCGTTGCCGTCCAAGATGTGACTACAACCACAACAAATCCAAAAAGCTCCTTTTCCTATTAACTCATAAATAACAATAAGTCAAACTACTTAAATATATAAATGGGACACTTTGGATGCGATCCTTAGTTATCAATATTCTTTGATTGAAATCTTGTTAGTTTTTAGTTTTTGATTGAGGTCCCTGACATTAATGTAATAATGTAAGTTACTATATTTTGTAAATTAAAAATTAAAAATTGAAATTTGTAATTGTTTATATTAATGAGATTTTAAATAAAACCCATAATTTATGGGATTAAAAATAATAAAATATAAATTATACTCTCTATTATATTGTGTGTGTGTATGTGTGTACATATATGTATGGGTACATTAACCAAAATTAACAAAAAAAATTATTGTACCAAAACATCGATACATTCTCAAATCAACGAAAAAGAATGTACCCATATAAGTTTAAACATGGATTAAAAAATTTGAATGGATTTTATATTAAAAAAGGGTACATTTTACATATAACAAATTGATATATTTGAGAATGGGTACATTTAAGATTTAAAAATTGAAAAATTATATGAATGGGTACATTTAAGATTAAAAATTAAGAATCTTTTTATATATAAAAAAAACTAATAGGTACAAACTTAATTTAATTTTTTTATTATTTTGGAAATGTTTGAATTGAAAATTAATTAGAAGTTTAATAGAGATGTGAGTATTAAACCCTAAATTAATTACTAATTTTTATATTAAAAAATTATATAATAAACATGTAAATTCATTATCACATTAATTCTAGGGACTTGAATCAAAATTTGATAACTAATAAGGTCTTAGTTAATAAACAGTAAGAACTAGGGATCGGATACTAATGTTTCCTATATAAATAGATTAAAAATCAAATAAAATTTACAAATAGAAAGAAAAATAATACAAAAATCAAGTAATTCAACTAACCTAGCAGTTTGCGGTGTATGTATTCGCTTTCGTATTTCGATGCCTTGATAAGAAAACACAAGATTAAATTAGATTAAAGATTAAAGATTAAAGAAAACCTTAATAAAATCAAGACAAAAAAAAAAACAATTAAAAAAATAAAAACAATTACCTTCCCGCCAATCTTTCTGCAAACGAAAATTTCTGTTTTCTTAATCGGACAAAGGACCGATTCCGTCTCCAGGCATGCTCTAATGCATTCAAATCATCCCTCACAGTGTTCGTCATAGCAGAGCAGAGCTACAAGCTGCAGCATTTACCTGTCGGATTTCAGGAAATGGAGGAAAAGCTATGAGCTACATTTCAAGAAATGGAGAAAGAGTTATAAATACTCATAACATTTGAAGGATATTACATATCAAACCTGAAATTCCGATATAGATTCGTCCCTCGCACTCCTGTTCTTCGTAGGAGAGCAGAGCTCCGATTTACTGGTCTGATTTCAAGAAATGGAGGAAAAGCAATTAACTACATTTCAAGAAATTGAGAAACAGTTATAAATACTCATAACATTTGAAGGATATTATATATCAAACCTGAAATTCCGATCTAGATTCGTTCCTTGCAGTTCTGTTCGTCGAGGAGAGCGGAGCTCCGAGCTGTTTGGTTCTCCGATTTGTTTCTGCTTCGAGAAATGGAGGGAAGGTAGCCTATTTGAAGAATCCGATACGGCGTCGTTCGGGCCGTTTAGTCCAGTAGTTATCTAAATACCCTTAATGACCCTATTCTCAGCCATTATTAGTAGGGGCAAAATGGTATATATATAGAGTTGCCAACCAGGATCGAAGTTATCGGTTTTGTATTCAAGTTTTAAATCCCCCTTCAATCCCTGTAGGTCTTCAGAGTCTAACCTAATTTAGTTCCTTTCCTCCATTTTTACTCCCCACTCTACTTGTGGCGATTTGTTGCAGAATTCAACACTGACCCATAGGGCATGATATAAAGGGTATTCAGGGGTAATCTTCACCATTCCAGACTGATTTTGGGGGCGAGACATCTGATTACTGATTTCTTAATCAGAAAGCAGCCAAATCCAGTTGGGTCCAAATATCTTATAAACCGATGTGATGATAAAATCAGGCCGGAAAAGGGTCAGTCCAAGTGAATCCATGCCCTTGGGGACCCAGTGAGCCAGCACCAAGCAAGACATGCCAATTGTTCTGCCGAGCCAGTGCCAGTGCCATCCATTGGTAAGACTAACCAGGCTCTCTTTCTCCCTAAATGTTGGGAGGTTGTGAAAGAGGCAGGATATAACAATATCATGATATCTGTTTGTTTTTTTATATAATAGTTGTGTACATTTTCTGATGATGATACGTATCTTCAACTCAATTACGTATGTTTGCATCATAATTATAACTACTGGACCAAATTCTGGAATGATGGCATTCTAAAACCCGGTAAAGTAGTTCTAAGTCAGCCGCGCTACGTATCTGACAATTATCTTGACTGTTGTAGTGGGTTAATTCTGTTCTTTAACCTAAGACTTGTCAATTCTGTGTGTTCAACCCCATCACTGAACCACATGTCTCCATACCTATAGCGTGTGCACATGAGCGTGAGCATTTTTGCGCTGCCTTGGCTTTTGACCCTGTTGAATCCAACCACTAGAGTTATTCGAATTGATCATTCCCCACAATCCAAATCCAGTGGTTCCACAGTCCCAACGCGAACCCTCACCCTGATGGCAGACATATTTCGCAATCTGGACAGTGGGTCAACTTGACCCCATGTTCATTGATGGGTTTAAAAGTTCCAAGGTTTGCAGGCATTTTGTATACTTGCAGGGGGTGTTATATGGCCTTGCTAGTTCACAGGAAGGTTTGTGTATTGACCTCAATACCATTAAAGCTTGAGCCTTTGAATGCTCTCGTGTTCTTGCGGACGATGATAGGACCAGTGAGCAATGGGATGTCTTGGGATGTCAAAGGATCTTGTTTGTTATGTAACATGTGATGGTTCAAATACTTTTCGTTTTTGGTCTTATAATGATCAATGTGAATCTGGTGACCAATGGACTCTCAAATATAGTGTTGTTAGGAATAGTTTGGTATGGGGGGCGGATACAATGTTTATACCCAGTGCAGATATAGTGTTTAAACCCAATGCAATAAGTCTGAATGCTCATGTCATCTTCTATGACACTTCAGAATTGATCTTTAGCTGGGACTATGAAAGCCAGAAATGTAAACTGTTCAACAAGTCAAAGGTAAAGATGGCTCAAAACCTGGTTATAACTTTCCTTTCTTTACCCAACGTCCTTGCTTGATACCTTACTACAGATTGGGTGAGAGGAATATTGCCGGCTTTACTCCATTGTAAGTAGATTGTCTCCTTCTCTCTTTTATATTTCTTATATGTTATATAAGTACATGCACAGTGATGTTAGTACTTTTTAAGGTTATTATCATTGTCATTAAGAAAGCATTGAACCCATATACTTGGATACTTGAACATGTTAAGACTATCGGTTTGTTTTTATATGAATTAATTTGGGATGCAAACAATTTTTCCATTATTATTATAAATAAGGGAAAATCTCATTTGAATTCACCAAAAAAAACTCCAAATTTAAAGGAAAAGTTGACGGACCTAAGAAGAGAGAAATTGCACACATTTTAAGAGATTAGGAATAGGAGGTCTTGAAACTTGATAGAAAGTTCAGCGGACAAATAAAAAACAAATGATAAATACAGGGGGAATTGCTATATTTTTCCCCCTTAATTTTAATAATGGATAATGGATTAGTTGCTGCTTAGATGAGTTTGGAGACAGTGTTGTTTCCAAAGAGTATGTTTTGGTTTTTTTCTAAAACTTACAAGATACCAGACACAATGCGTACTGCAAAACACCCTAATTTGCAGTGCAAAACATGGCATCAGTCAAATTTTTTATTTAAGCTCACAACCTATATCTTGACAGTTGAAAAGATGAATCTTTTCGTACTTAGCCTAAATATCTAAGCTATTTGTGATGCAATTAACCTTGATTTTCTTTGTTGTTTCACATTAAGCTTAATTTGTTGGTACATATGCTCCTCACAATATTTTCTCTCATATTTTTCCTACTGAACAGATCAGGGAACCTTTTGAAGGGAGCAGAGATTTCGAGTGCGGAAGCATTACCATGTGAGTGTGATAATCTAAAAGATAGCTTTCAAGTTGTACGCGGTCGTTCATATTGGAATATGTTGTTCAAGAGGCGGTTTCTTTTTCCAAGTGAAATGCAGTTATGTGTAGGAATGGAGCTGCCGGATTAAAGGTGATTTTCAGACTATCCGATCACCATGAATAAGATTTCTACTTTTCAGATTAGGTGGTTTCTTTAAATAAAAATTTAGATTAGATCAAATCAAAGTAATTTTGGAATTTCCAGAACATAATTCATTATTCATATAATTTACAAGTTTTTGAATTTTTTCAACCTTTTTAAAGTATATAATGACAATTTTGAATTGATAAAATGTTAACATATCAACAGTATTACGGCGAGAATCAGCCAGCTCACGAACACTAACCTTCATTATTAGCTGGATCAGCGAGTGTTAATTCAGGATTAAGAGTCAATTAAAAGCTTACTTTGTTAATTGTTATCCTGATACATTTCGTGACTCCTTAATTTAATAATACATTGTTAAGTTTGTGAATCTCTTATGCTTCCAATTGTTGGGATAACTTGTATAAAAACAGGTTTATCGCTACTTGACTCTTTAATTTAATAATGCATTGTTATATGAAGAAAAAACTTACACTTGACAATGTACTGTTGAAAACATGAGAGTTTGATACCGTCCAGGGTTATGTTGCTCAATTGCTAATATAGAATAACATCATAAGTCGTAAAAGTTGTCTAAAGTTCTAAGAATGCGCCACCACTTTGTATGTTTCTCCCTCTTGAAAGGATACTATGTACAATCTTACGTGGATCTCCTTTATCTATCGTTATCAATGTACATTTTCTAAAATTACGAGTGAATTTGTCTGAAATCATTTGCTCATTTATATTTGCATTATAATTATATTGTGATATACGAGTGGTCTAGAAACTAGAAAGAGGTGAGAACCTTATAAGTCGCATGCACAAATGATGTTCAACTGCAGTTATTCATGATGAGCCCTTATGTCTTAAAAACACTAGAAACTGATCAGAAGGAAGCTTGCATAACATTTTTTGTTTACAAGTATATTTCCCCTTGGTTTTTTCAGGGTAAGTACCATATGTCATGGAAAGTGCTTGATGTTACTGGGTTTTCCAGTTCAAGGTTGAGTACCACACATCACAGGCTTCGGTATCCCTATCTAAACAGGTCAGCTTTTAGCTTAGGTACCTCTTTTCCTTTTTTCCTGCTCAACAAAGAATTTCCACTAGTCGTAATCGATAACTTAGGGTTCTTTGTACATTTTTGTTTGATCGACATAAGTTGGATTATTCTCGGAGGCGGTTCAAAGTCATACAAACAAGTGATTTACTGCTGTCAATGTGAATTTTTTCATTGTGTTATGTAGCATTGCATCGATGTACGTGGATTGAATGCTTCTTTGAAAATGACCATAAGGAAAACCATTTTGTTTTTATATCTATCTTCTGCTTTCTTTGTCGAACAAGTTCATTAGGATAGTAACTAGGGTTCTTCCGCTCTTCCGCTCATCATTTTAAGGGACTCATTTAGTCAGCGCTTGCTGTGGCTTCCAGTTAAGGGCTCTGTTATGTAATTCCAAACTGAATGTAGTCGTGAATTCTTATGTTGCATGTCACAAGGAATTGCCCACAAACGAAGAACAATATGGTATTATTTTGTTATGTTGTATTTTCCCAAGTCACCAAAAGTTATTGCGTTTTTATATTCGATCAACTTTCAGTATACGATTTCCATTTACGGATAAATGTTTATTAACTTCAGAATTTATGTTTTATTTTTCTTTTGTTGACAAATGATAGAATAACTTATACTAATCACTCGTTTACGTTGCCGTAATCAAAATAGGAAAAAATGGATTGAGAATGAATTGAATTGACAAGGAGTTAGAATGAGGAGTGAGAATCAGATTTTTGTTGAAGATATTAACTTCAATGTTCTAAAATCAAAGTAGGAGTCAAATTGACCTAATTCACCTGAATTGGAATAAGAATCAATATGAAATTTAAGGGTAATGCTAGAGAAACTAAATTTTTTAAACCAAATTGATTATTTGATTATTACTTAAGTATTCGTTAACGTACTTATTTTCTATTGGTAACACATCATTTGGTATGAAAGTTTGGTCTCCTTAGCATTATTATTTATAAAATAAAAAAATTAAACAAAATCTTTATTTTATTCATATATTTATTTTTAATTAGTTTTTTTTTCCAAATTTTAATTTGTTGTTTTTATTTTCCGGCAAAAAAAATAGTTGTTTTCATTTGTTTGGTTGATAACGAACATGTGTCATCTCCGGATCCATGTATCCTAATCCACCAAATTCATGAATCCGGACTGTTGAAATTTGATTCAACGGCTAAAGTTATTATAAATTTTAAAGTGAAAATTTGTTTGTAGCCGTTGAATCAAATTTTAATGGTTCAGATACATGGATTTGGTGGATTAAGATACATGAATCCGGAGAGGACCCATGTCCGTTGATAACTTGACATGAAGAGTTAAAATGTCGTGACTATAAAAAATTTGTCTTTTTTTATAAAATTTTTTGGTTAAAGAATAGTTTAAAAAAACTCGCCAAATTCATATTCCTCGAAGACCAAACAAGATTATAACCCACCCATTCCACTCTACAGCCCAGAAAGCCACTAAGCATGATTATACCCACCAAACACAATTATAGCCAAATTCAGCTTCCCGGCAACCAATTTCATCGTGCATAGCACGATTTCGAAAGCAATTGTAGCCGTCAAGGACCAGACGAGCATTGATATTGCCAAAGTCGCGAGCAATCTGGCTCTAGACCTCGTGTTTGCGGTCGTGAAAGCGACATCACACGAGGACTAACCAGTGAGCGAGAAACACGTCCACCATCTCTTAAGCGAGAATCACAAGGATGAGCAGACAAATGAGAGGGCATAAAAGATGGAAAAATGCATTCCGATTCCCTTACCCTCTCGGAACTCAAATACATCATCTATATAGGGAATTCAATTTCAAGAGTTAGGCCATCTCCAACCGATGGCTGGTCAGGCCATCTCCAACCGAAAGGTTCAGATGGCAAGAGGGCCGAAAATTGCCCTAAAACCGTCTCCAACCGAGGGCTAGGCCAGAGGACTCTGGAATCTGGGAGGGTCCCACGGAATTTCAAAGGGCCAAAGGGCCAAAGGGCTGGCTGCTTTCGGCCGGCTAGCTAGCCTCGGGCTGGCTATTTTTTTTTTATAGTTTTTCTATTACTGTCGGTTATAACCGACAATAATAGTTATTCAAAGGCAATTTTTTTTAATTACTATTAGTGTCGGTTATAACCGACACTAATAGTTTGAAATTTTTTGAATATAACGGCTAGTAGCCGTTGTATTAACTTTGTTATTTTTTTTATATGAATTTAAACTTGTTTTTTTCCCTTTTTTTTCCTTTTCATATGAATCAAATTTTGTTTCATATTGTTTTTCAATTCTATTTTACAAAATTTGTTTCAATTTTTTTTAAATTCTATTTTTTTTCCTATAACTTCTATTTTACAAAATTTGTTTCAATTTTTTTTAAATTCCATTTTTTTCCTATAACTTCTATTTTACAAAATTTGTTTCATATTTTTTTTTAAATTCCATTATTTTCCTATAACTTCTATTTCACAAAATTTGTTTCAATTTTTTTTAAATTCTATTTTTTTCCTATAACTTCTATTTTACAAAATTTGTCATATTTTTTAAAATTCCTTTTTTTTCCTATAACTTCTATTTCACAAAATTTGTTTCATATTTTTTTTCAATTCTATTTTTTTCCTATAACTTCCTAGGCCACTTATACAACATTAAATTAAATTAAGTAACATGAAACAACATTAAACAATATGAAATAACATTAAATAACATTAACCAACATACAAATTATATAACATAAAAAAACATTTAACAACATGAAACTTAAACAACATTTTTAAAAACATTTAACCGTTGGATTTGAATTTAAATTGTAGTTTTTAAATAATAAATTATGTTTGGCCCTCGGTTGTAGACGGTTTTTTGTGACAGGGCTAAAACGAGCCCTCTGGCCCTTTGGCCCTCGGTTGGAAACGGAGACAAATATGGCCCTGTACTATTCATTAAAATATTAGGCCATCTCCAACCGATGGCTGGCCAGAGGGCTCGTTTTAGTCCTCTGGCCCTCCAAGATTCTCCAAGATATTAATATTTTAATGAACAGTACATGGTCATATTTGCCTCCGTCTCCAACCGAGGGTCAGAGGGCCAGAGGGCTCGTTTTAGCCCTGTCACAAAAAACCGTCTCCAACCGAGGGCCAAAGGGCCATAGGGCCAAACATAATTTATTATTTAAAAACTACAACTTAATTTTATTTAAAAATCATGTTAGTTAGTGTTGTATAATTTTTATGTTGGTTAATGTTATTTAATGTTGTTTCATATTGTTTAATGTTGTTTCATGTTACGTAATTTAATTTAATGTTGTATAATGGCTTAGGAAGTTATAGGAAAAAAATAGAATTTAAAAAAAATATGAAACAAATTTTGTGAAATAGAAGTTATAGGAAAAAAATGGAATTTAAAAAAAATATGAAACAAATTTTGTAAAATAGAAGTTATATGAAAAAAAAATATGAACCAAATTTTGTAAAATATAAGTTATAGGAAAAAAATAGAATTAAAAAAATTGAAACAAATTTTGTAAAATAGAAGTTATAGGAAGTTATAGAAAAAAAAAGGTTTAAATTCATAAAAAAAAAAGAGGTTTACAACGGCTAGTGGCGCTAGCCGTTGGAAGTTTAAATTCAAATTGTTATTTCTGTCGGTTATAACCGACAGAAATGAGAAACATTAAAAAAAAAATAGTCAGCCCGGGGCTGGCTGGCTGGCCGAAAGCAGCCAGCCCTCCAGCCCTCCAGCCCTCTTCGATCCCATGGGGCCCTCCCAGATTCCCGAGCCCTCTGGCCTAGCCTTCGGTTGGAGACGGTTTTAGGGCTATTTTCGGCCCTCTGGCCCTCTGGACACCCTTCGGTTGGAGATGGCCTTAATATCTTGGAGGGCCAGAGGACTAAAACGAACCCTCTAGCCAGCCCTAGGTTAGAGATGGCCTTAGGCCATCTCCAACCGAAGGGTCCAGAGGGCCAGAGGGCCGAAAATAGCCCTAAAACCGTCTCCAACCGAGGGCTAGGCTAGAGGGCTCTGGAATCTGGGAGGGCCCCACGGGATCGGAGAGGGCTGGAGGGCTGGCGGCTGGCTATTTTTTTTTAATGATTTCCTATTGCTGTCGGTTATAGACGACAGCATTAAAGATATTCTTTTTTTAATAGTTCTACTATTAGTGTCGGTTATAACCGACACTAATAGTTTGAAATGTTTTTTAATATAACGGCTAGTAGCCGTTGTATTATTAGGCCTCTTTTTTTTTCTTTTTTTTAATGAATTTAAACTTCTTTTTTTTTAATGAATGTAAACTTCTTTTTTTCCCCTTTTTTTTTCCTTTTCATATGAATCAAATTTTGTTCCATATTTGTTTTCCTATAACTTTTATTTCACAAAATTTGTTTCATATTTTTTTTCAATTCTATTTTTCGTATAACTTCCTAGGCCATTTATACAACATTAAATTGTAGTTTTTAAATAATAAATTATATTTGGCCCTATGGCCCTCGGTTGGAGACGGAGGCAAATATAGCCATGTACTGTTCATTAAAATATTAATATCTTGGGGAATCTTGGAGGGCTAGAGGGCTCAAACGAGCCCTCTGGCCAGCCTTCGGTTGGAGATGGCCTTAGAGGACTCGTTTTAGCCCTCTGGCCCTCCAAGATTCTCCAAGATATTAATATTTTAATGAACAGTACATGGCCATATTTGCCTCCGTCTCCAACCGAGGGCCAAAGGGCTCGTTTTAGCCTTGTCACAAAAAACCGTCTCCAACCGAGGGCCAAAAGGTCATGGGGCCAAACATAATTTATATTGTGAGTTTTTATTTTCATTATTTTTTATATGTAGAATGCAAGATGAGATATTTAATTTAATTGAAATCCAATTCATATTTATTTTGATTATGTTGATGGTTTGTTTATATTGTGAGTATTTATTTTGAATATTTTGTATATGTAGAATATATTTAATTTAATTGAAATTCAATTCATATTTATTTTGATTATATTGATGATTTGTTTATATTGTGAGTTTTTTCATTTTAACACCAATTATTTTGTTAAAAATTAGTAAAAAAATTTATTATTGTTCCATCATGGAACTTCCATGCACAGATTAATTCGAATTATTTTGGTGCAGTGTCGAATTAATCTGTGCATGGAACTTCTATGCACAGATTAATTCGACACTGCACCAAACGCCCGACTAATGTAGTTAGTACCATCCGACGACTATTTATCCTATCCGATTGAAATAGTCAGTACAGTCCGAAGTACCAAACGAGGCTAAAAAAAAATTTCGCGCTACGCGCGCTATGACCCCACAAACATTATTTCCTGGATCCGCCACTGGCTATTAGTATCGGTTATAACCGACACTAATAATATAATATATATTATTTTTGTCGGCTATAACCGACAGAAATAACAAAGCATTAAAAAAAAAATAGCCAGCCAGCCCAACAACCCTCCAGTCCTCTAGCCCTCTCCGATCCCGTGGGGCCCCTCCCAGATTCCAGAGCCCTCTGGCTTAGCCATCGATTGGAGACGGTTTTCGGGCTATTTTCGGCTTTCTGGCCCTCTGGACCTTTCGATTGGAGATGACCTTAGATTCCTTAATTTGTGTGGGCTCCAACTCTCTCTTGATTTCTCAATATTTGGTAAACATGAGTTTTCTATAATCAAAATTACGTTTTTTTTTTTTTACGATTACCTTTATATAAGCGTGCCATAAATTTATAATAGCTATTGAAAGGATGAGGGTTTGAACAATAAAATTGAGAGGAAGACTCGGTCCATCAAAACAATTCATGAGGTGGGATTATAAGTTTTTGTGCAATTACAACCTCATATAATATCTTTAAAATATTTCAATTTCATACAATTACTTATATTTCAATTCAACTTCATACAACAGTTAATATTCAGTTAGATGTGTTGTTAAATAATGACGTGTCAAATAGAAAACCAACATGTTTTGATGAGGTGGCATATAAAAACAATTAAATATTAAAAAAGTAATTTAAAAACAAAACTAAATTAATACAAAGTGGGTCCCACCCACTTTCTTTCTTCAGGGTTTATTGTCGAAGGGCAACCTCATCTTCATGTAGCTTTTCAATTCCGGCGATGCGCAACCTGCCCGTTCCCAGAAAACAAGCACTGAATTGTTCAAGAAGTCGGAGCATTCATCTTTAACTCACAACATTTTTTGTGCAAATCTTCCCATTTTTTGGAGTAATTTATATTAGAAATATAACTTTGTATTAACAAAAAATTAAAAAGAAAAAAGAAAAGGAAAAGAGATTAGGTGGGAACCACAATCTGTGAAGAGCCACTGGTGGACATGTCAAGGGTTGTCGTGGTCCCCGTCGTAGATGGCCGGGAGAGAAATTTTTTATTAAGATCGGAATACGAAGGAGGGTATACCACTTATTTTTATACAAGTGGTGAAATTTTTTATTTTTTAAGTTATTAACTTTTTAACACATATATCTCATTATTTATATAATGACATATGATATACCACCTAATGTACTAATCACACTAAATAATTTCTAGAGCTGGGGTAGGGCCTTTGATTAGGGGGCCTAGAGGCATGTTTTCGTATAATACTTGTATATGGGTTCATGTGTCTCACAGTGTGTAGCCGACTGACCACTACATCCTTGAAAAGAATTCAGATTCTTGTCGGATTCTTTTTGTGAAGATTTTGAAAAATTTTAAATTATATTTATTTATCGTATATCGTGTAGTTAAAAATATTTTTAAATATTTTTATTTAAAATTAAACATAAATAATACTTAATAATAATTAATTGTACTACGTACACCTAACGAATTTTCGGAATCCTTAACAAAAAAATTCTAGAGAGGATCCTGTTGGCAGAAAAAGTACCAGCGGGTCTAACATGATTTGGAGGCTATTAAGATGGAGGGAGGACGGGCGGGCCCTACAACTTTTTTTCAATTTCTGAGCTCATTGTTTGTCCGTATCTATACCGTTCAAACTGAACATCACGTCAGAGCAATCCCCAATTTTGGCTTTTTAATGGTTTTTTAATCAAAATAGTCTTTATGAATATTCTTAAAATTTTAAAATCAACCAAAGTGGTTTTTGGATTATTTATTATAAATCATTTTAGTTATTTTGTAAAGAATCTTCGTTAAATTAAAGAAACTATCAATTCACGTGGAATAGTTAATTTGACAAAAATACTCTCAAATTAACGGTCATTCTTGACGAAATGACCAAATAATTGATTAGAGACTATCAGAGACTATTTATAGTATTAATTTTCATCGCAAGAATCTTAACAGATTTTCCTTCTTAATCAAACATGATCTTGATTTAGGCAATGAACTGTCATTTCGTAAAGAACGACAATGCACATCAAGTTCACCGCTTTGCCCTAACATATGGGCTTCTTCAATCTTATTGTATCGTCCTTAGTATTAAGTTTATTATATTATCAACTATCAATTTATAAATTCTGAAATTTTAGTATGCTCTAATTAATAAGATATTCCGAAACATACTACAAAATCTATGCCTCGAGCTGTTAATGTGGTCGAAAGTGGAAGTAGAGTGTTATTTTGACATGATGAGATTGCAATATGTTTACTCGAGTGAATATAATAGGTCCACATCTAACACATTACTTTGAGTGGTCTAGGGTTTGTCTGGGTTTCCTCCTTTAGATCTTAACATGCCTACTTTCAAGTTTGAAAGTCACGTCAAAAAATCGTTGTCAATCACCATGATTTTCCAATTTTCTCTTTGAAGTTGTTAGGCTCTTCTTTCAGGTAACGAAAATTTTACATCTTTTTAGGGCCAAGTTTTAAGATTACTTCCAAGCATTTAAGATATTTGAGTTTACAATCTAATCGTAACAGACATATTTTGTAATGTTTTTCTAGTCGTTTTGGATCACAACTCCGTACTAAACACAACCTCCTCACTCTTTTCTCTCGTGTACATTACACAAACTAAAATACAAAAGAGATCATAGTTAATTTCGTTTACATCTTTCCAAGTACAGACTTATTTCAATTGAGTTGAAAATTTTTTATTCCGTCCATCACGTAGCTTATTTTTCAAGCGAACGTAGATATCGATTTTTCAAGCTTAAATCAAATTACTACCCAAGATTTGGATTCCATTAAAAAATTCCCACCTCATTAACATTAAACCCAAATTACCAACTTATTATAAAAAATTGTGCCTTTGGAAATCCAATTTGCATGATATGTGTAATAGGGAAGAGGATCGAGACCCTTTGAATAAAGAAAGCGCTTTCCTCGTGGGACAGCCAGAAAAATAGTGCTCCCTCTTCCTCTTCCCTCCCCTTCCCACTGCAACACACCATACCATACCATACCATACCATACCCCTCTCTCTCTGCCTCTCTCCCACGAGAAAACAGATTCTAGAGAGAGAAAGCTCAGAAGGGTAGGAGGTGGCCGTCTCGGAAAAGCTAAATGACAGGCGGTGGTTCATCGGGGAGGTTACCAACATGGAAAGAGAGAGAGAACAATAAGAGGAGAGAGAGGAGGAGAAGAGCCATTGCTGCTAAGATGTATTCTGGTCTCAGAGCTCAGGGAAGCTACAAGCTTCCCAAGCACTGCGATAACAACGAGGTCTTGAAAGCTCTCTGTGCTGAAGCTGGCTGGGTTGTGGAAGAGGATGGCACCACCTACCGCAAGGTTTGTGGGATTTCATCCGACTGTTATGCAGATTTGACTGAATCCGCTTTTTCTATAACTGGGTTTCTGCTTTTGCTTTTCGCTTTTGGGTTTCATAGATCTCTGCATGCAAAATCATATTGGACTTGGTTTTGGTTGATTTTGTGAATCCTTGCTTTCTTGTTGAAATCCCAGCTGGGTTTTGATCTTTGAGGATCATTGGATAAGGAGGTGTGGATTGAAGCTTGGTGATTCCAGCTTAAGGAGCTTGTTTCTTGTTGATCTTAATTAGTGGGAAGCTTTTTGTTCTCACAAAATAACCAAACCCTTCTGTTTTTTGCATTACTGTTTCTCTGTTCTGGTTCTGATATGAGTCAGGATCTGGATTATCATGAATTGGGTCTCTCACTAGATTAAGAAGATGGATTATGAAATTGTCTTGATTTGTTGAAAGTTGTGGGTGAAATGGTTGAGATTTAGGCATGCAATTTTGTCTTCAATCTTTTGTGAGATCTCCGATGTTGTTTGTTCTCGAAAGTATTTGTTTTTCTTTGCTCTAAGGATTCAGCAGGTCATCAATTTACTCTGCTCCATGTGTCAATATGTTGGATTTCAATTGACATTAGGGGAAAACCCAGGAATTTTAAAGCTACTGATTTAGCTTTCTGTTAATTGGTTTATTCGTTCATATTGTATCCTTTTTTGTTGAGTTTGTGTGCGGAATGCTTGTTTTGGATGCAGGGATGCAAGCCATCTCCAATGGAAATTGCAGGCCCCCCAACAAATATGAGTGCATGTTCCTCTATTCAACAAAGTCCACAATCCTCAGCTTTCCCAAGTCTTGTGCCATCTTACCATGCCAGTCCATCCTCCTCCTCTTTCCCAAGTCCTACTCGTTTTGATGGAAACCCCTCTTACCTTCTTCCGTTCCTGCGTAACATAGCTTCCATTCCCACAAATCTTCCTCCTCTTAGAATATCCAATAGTGCTCCTGTAACTCCACCTCTTTCTTCTCCAACCTCAAGAGGTTCAAAGCGAAAACCTGATTGGGACTCCCTTACTAATGGCTGCATAAGTTCATTTAGTGTGTTTGGTTTTATTTGGTGTGTTTATTTAATTTTAGTTGGTGTGTTTTTTTTTTACTTCATTTTTTATTATTTGGTATGTTTATGTAATTTTATTTGGTGTGTGTTTGTCATTTGAATATATATTCTCTTAGTATAAATAACTTACCAAATTAAATAAATTTACTCTCACTTTAAATAAAGTACTAAATTCAATAAATTGGAAACAACATAAAGTACTCTATTCAATAAATAATAAATTACAACCCAAAGTGATTGGAAAATTATGGGCTTCGATTACAAAACTACTCTATTCATCATCACTTAACCAATTTGTGGTGCTAGGATGATCTTTTCTTGCTCTCGCTTATCTTGCACTCCTCATTCGCACCACGTTTGCTTTCTCCGACTTCCAAAAATATTTAGAATTTGGAGACTTCCCTTCTAAAGGTGTGCTCATAATTTCACGATCTCGTTGAACCATTCTTTCTTGTCTAACATGTTCCCTTTCTTGCTTAAGTAGCTCTCTTTCTCTCTGATTAGCTTGAAATTCTCTCTCAATAGCTGCAGCTTTTGTCTTATCTCTAGCCTTATCAGCCTCAAATTTCGCCATTTCCCGCGCCAAAGTCAATTCACCTTGGCGAGCAAGTTCTTCCATGTATTTTGCATAATCATTTTTGGAAACACTCCATTTTCTCTTTGAAGCCTTCTTATCTTCAGGCCTAATTGGATAACGGGTCGAACTCGACGCTTGTTCTGGGAAGGGCGTTTCGGGCACTTCTTCTGCATCATCTTCATGAACATAGGAGCCATGATCGGGTGTAGACTGTAGAGGGGTGCTGTTTATGAAAACTTCTGGACCGACATGCACAACTCTGAATTTAGGATAATCTTTGACAATATTCCAACATTCCCACCGGTTGAATGATTTATTTTTGGTTTTGGCACCATACAAAACTTGTGCATGAAGTTGCTACACAATGCGGGAGAAGAAATAATTATAATGAAAGTAGGTAACAAATAAATAATACAAACAAATAATTATAATGTAAATTTGGATATAGTACAAACAAATAAATAATATATTGTTACATGATCCGTGTAATTTTCCCCACTTCGAAGATTAGTACTAGCTTGTGCCAAGGCGTCTCTCCACGTACTAAACGATTGGCTAAGTAATTTCCAATGACTGGACATCGATTCTTTGGTTCTTTTCCCACCCATTTTCTCAAGATAATTGGTATGAATAAGACTCCATATTTCTCGCAACTGCATCGCATTACCCTTAAGCGAACTATGAGTAACTTCAACCCAGCTAGTACACAACGCAACATCTTCAAGAAGCCACCAATTCGTACCTACAACAGTAGTCATTTTGTTGAAAAAAATTGGATTGAAACTTTGAGAGAAAGATAGGAATTTGATAGAAAGTAGTTGGGAAAATATGAAATTGTGGTGTAAGGTAAATGATAATAAGAAGGTATTTATAGAAAAGTAAAAACAATATTTTTTAAAAAAATTCAGATTTTTTACAATTTTTTTTAAATTTTTTATTGAACTAATTAATCTCTGTCGTTCGATTTAAAAAAAGTTTTGAATTCCAACACTCCAGATTGTGCCATGTGTCACAACGGTAACTTTTCTTAATTTTAAAAATATTTTTTCTTTTTTTAATTTATAAAGTAGAATAATATCAACCGTTGATCTTAAATCCAACGGTTGATATTAAATAAGTTTTTTTTATTTTTATTACCATTGCAAATCGGACGGTCCAATTTAAAGAGTCGTTGAGATCGAATGGACCGTGGGAAGCCACATGGCTTCCCAACTGTAACATCAGCAGACTGGCGTCACATCCACTCGGGCTTGCGGGCTGGCAATTCCTCTCAAGCATGTTGCTTGGGCCTGGCCTGTTCCTCGGGCTCCCACATGCTGGAGCACTTCAGTTGGGCTATCTAGCCCTGTTAACTCCCCTTCCCCCTAAGCACCAGCCCATGCTGGAGTTGCTCTTATGTCTTAAAAACATTATAAACTCATCAGACGATACTCTTATATAACATTTTTTGATAAATCTCAGTTTATTACCCTTAAGTTTTGAGGTTTTCAACATTTGGTACATAAAATTTTTTTCGTCCCAGAGTCATACCTAAAGTGTTAATTTTGGGACAGTCATACATCCGTTAATTTGGCGGTTAAGTCTCCCATTAACTAATGACGTGGTGCCCATGTGGACAATGACTGGGCACCACGTGTCATTAAAGGATCCACGTGGAAATTAAAAATTCAAATAAATAAATAAATAAATAACCCAACCGTCTTCTACCTCCCCCAACCCATTTTCTCCCTTCTTTCCTCTGCAACCCGCACCACCCTCCCTTATCTTCTCTGCAACCCACACCCACCTCTCCTACCTCACCTGACCCCCGTTCCCTCCCTATTTTGATTTAATTTTCTTGATTTTATTTTTGAGATTTATATGGAGTTTCACACTGGTAGCTCATAATTTTCATCTAAATCCAACTGGGTTTCTTGCAAACGGATTGATTGTTCCGTTTTTTTCTTCTGGGTAGTCTTTTTTTTTCTCTCTGATTGATGTTTTCTTGTTGATTTTGGTTCTCAAATGTTAAAAATCGTTAATTTTAATACTGGGAATTAACTTTTAGTAATTTGGGAATTTGGGTTTAATTGGGTTGTTTAGATTGACCAGTTAGTGATGTTGTGAGCTGGATTTTTAATATTGATTGCAGCTAGGAATGTTGATTTCAGAGGTGGGTGTGGGTTGCAGAGGAGATGAAGGAGGGTGGTGCGGGTTGTAGAGGAGAGAAGAGAAGAGTGCAGGTTGCAGAGGAGATAAGGGAGGGTACGGGTTGCAGAGGAAAGAATGGAGGGAGGGGGTTAGGGAAGGTAGAAGAAGGGTGGGTTTGTTTTTTTGAATTTTTAATTTTCACGTGGACCCCTTAATGACTCGTGGTGCCCACTTATTGTCCACATGGGCACCGCGTCATTAGTTAACGGGAGACTTAATAGCCAGACTAACGGATATATGAGACTGTCCCAAAATTAACACTTTAGGTATGACTCTTGGACAAAAAAAAAAATTTTATGTACCAAATGTTGAAAACCATGAAACTTGAGGGTAGTAAATTGAGATTTACCCAACATCTTTTAATTTACAAGTAAATATTGTTGACAGATATATGTACACATCAGCAAGCTAGGGTTTTGACAAATGACTTACACGTCAGCCAAGGTTGTTATGATTGTGGTTAGATAGCTATAAGGATAAGAAAAGTTAGTTAGTTTTCGATTACTTAGCTATGAAGCAAAGATTGTAGTATAGGATTTGTGTTTATAGGATTTGTTATGCAAAGAAAATAAAAATAGAACAAGTGAAATTTTATGTAATAACTTCGTCAAGATTGTATTCCATTAAAATAAGTTGGAAATAAGTACATAGAGTAATTAACGTCTTTACTATCTAGCCAAAAACATAAACTGAAAAGTAATTTAATGAAAAACTCATTTTCGACATGTTTGTGTGAAATTTGCATGCAGGATCTCTTTATTCAGAGTTTGCAGTCAGTGAGATTATATACTGAAAGTCTTAAAGAGCTACTGGAGGTTATACAGGGACATTATGCTTCATCAAATGAAGTTGATATAGAAGACTTAAATCTTCCAGGTTTAACTGAGCTTAGAGAAAAGAAAAGACACAGCAGCTAAAAGAAGGGGAGGACTGGTCAGCATGAAAGAAAAATAAAATAGGGAAAAGATAGGAGAAGGGAACGCGGAACCCGAGTGGAGAGAAAGCACTGAGGTAGTGCGAAAAAAATAATAAGGGGGAGCTGCCCTTGGCAGCGTGAGTGGAAATAAAATAAGAGAGAGGTGGAAACAGAGGCACAGCACTGGCGGGGGAGAGACTGACAGCGCAGTTTGAGTGGGGAAAGAAAGAAAAATAAGAAAGGAGGATAGAGGGAAGTTAGGTGGGATAGAAAAGAAATAAAATAGGGATAGAAAGGCACGGAAAGGGGGGGGTGCAGAAGGGGGCATGCAGAAGGGGGAGAAAAGAAAGGAGCTGCCCTTTGGGCAGCTCGCAGAGACGCAGAGAGAGAGAAGTGAAACGGACAGGAGGCTGAAGAGGAACAGCTGCTATTTGGCAGCTGTGAGCACGGACAGAGAACACGAGGGCTGCCATTGGGCAGCGGTAGTGAGAGAAACGAGAGGGCAGGAGCCTTGGAGGAAAGCTGCCTTTGGGCAGCTTTAGCTTGGCAGCGGAAGAAAAGTCAGAGGGGCAGCTCGCAAGGACGGTCAGAAGAGTGAAGCGGGGAGAGTCCAAAGGTGAGCACGGCATGGTGAGTATGGAGAGAGGTGAGCACGGGGGAAGCTACCCTTGCAGCTGAGACTGACGCAAGGAAGACTGACGCGGGCAGGGAGAGAGAGAAGTGGGCACGAACGCAGCAGATCCTCTTTCGGTTTAATCTTTCCAAACTTCTCTTTTATTTCTGTTTTGTAATAATGTGTAAATAAACTGATTTTGGCTAGAGGTTAATTCAAAGTCATGATTATATTTGTAATATGAATTGATTACCTTCAGTTGTGATTTCATAAGTTGTGAATTCAATTTACTTATCCGTTCGTATAAAAACTGATTTGTGTATGTTGGTTGAGAGTGCACCCTTAATTTACATGCATGAATTTGATGCTAAAATATAAGTGAATTTCACCTAATCGTTATGAACTTATATTCACAAGTAGTAAAGGTTGCTAGTCACAATCACGTTAAGTAAATTCTTGGCATAAGTTTCATGCAAATCATAGTAACGAGTGCCTCGTCAATGCTTATGTTTTTCATAGAACTTAATGATTCTTGCTTGTATCTCTATTATGCAATTCATGTAGGGAACTTGTAGGGAATGTTTTGGGTTGTCGTATGCAATCATCCAACCTAATAACTTGTGGAAAAACTGAGGGTTAATTAGTGCAATTCACGGTTAATTTGGGGCGTTGAGATTTACAATTTATTGAAAGAACAACTGAAAATCAATTTA